AGACTCTGGAGCAGCAAACAAATCAGTTGGCCATCTCTAGAAACATTCAGGCAAGACTTAATCATTCATTTATTAATTTATATCCAATGGCAGGTGTTTTGATAGTTATCATTAGCCCTTTAGTTGACTTCAGGCTCCACAGAGGGGAAGGAACATCAAGGTGAAAAAAGTCGAGAGGGGGGGGGGAACAGAAGAGTGTTTCAAATATGCAAAAGAGACAGAGAAAAGGTAAGATGAGTGCTGTGAAAGTGTTGGAATATGACATACATTGGGGGTCATGGTAGTTTGAAGTCAGAAGTCAACTGCCAGTTAATAGACTTTTTGCCGTATGAGTATACGTTGCCTAGGAAGCACCATGTGGAGGTAAGTCTATCGCACACCTCTCTGTGGCATCACAGTTCACATTTTTTTTCACTCATTGAAGTTCGGCTCGTGAGATGGTCGTCGTCCAATCGCACTGATTAAGTCTGGCTAATAAATAGAATTCTACTTCCTCTCTAGGAAGGCTGCTTGATGCTCCCTCCGTGGCCAAAAAAACTAATGTTCAATTGGGGGAGGCTGGCTGTCAAAAAATAGTTTCCCTATCGAGCCTAAAGTTGATTTAAGGCATTTTGGACTCCTTTTTTGTCACCTCTCGAGCAAGTATCCGTCATTTTTGTCTCCCTTTTTTGTTATTAGATGAAGGGACGGGATGGTTTGACGCGTCTTCTCACTGGTCCTGCTCCAACTAGTCTTGAGCCTGGTTCTCAGTCTCCATCAATGGCTCAAGCCCATTGGGACATTGTCGACTCCCTCCTCGAGGAATGCAAACATCGTGTACGTTTGACTTGAGTCTGCATTGATGATGAATAGTGCGAATGCATACAGTGGCTAGTGTATACTATTCAGCTATAATGCTTGAATTTTTGGGGATATATAGCAGAAATTACTATTTTCTCATTTCTTGAAAGTTATCTTAGCCAAGTGCAAAAGAAGACGAAGATTTTAGCGACAGTACTGTCTGTCTGCCTCGTAAATAGCCAGTCTTGTGGCGAAAATGTGTGAGGTTTGGAAGTCACTGGGACTAACAAGGCCCATTAGGTTTAACTACTTTGATTTCACCAAATAGCGCTGGTATTCTCAAGTGTTATATGCCCTCTAAGTTCGCCTTTCTCTCTCGTGTTTCAGACAATGCGAATGGTGATTCAAAAGATGGGACACGAAGCTCTGCATCTAGGGCATAACTACCAATCAGTTTCAGAAGTTGAGGAGAACACGTTGGTCTCTGGTCTCTGTGATCTTCTTGAGCGCATCTGGTCTCATGGACTTCAGAAGAAACACGTGAGTTGGATCAGGGTGGAGTTGAAATAGGCTGTTTCCTCTTCTGTGAAGTCAGTACTCCTCGGTGAATCTCCAGTAATGTGGGGCTTAAGTATATTTTTCCTTCAACACAAACAGCTTGCTGTGAATATTCCTCCTATTGGTTGTTCATAAAAGTATCGCTAAGCGCTTCCTCCAATGAGCTTGAGGATTGATAATAAGTCACTGAATTCACTAGAGCAGACCTTGATGATTCTTATGGTTGAGGCTGTTCAAAATGCTCATCGCATTTTTTCATATTTAGGGTGCATCAGCGCTTTGGGCCCATATTCAAGGCTTTGTGAAACGCAATGCTCATGAATCTCCGCAATCGGTTGGTTTACTTCCCTCTCGGACACCGACTCATTCTCCTGCTTTACCATCTCGACTGCCACGTTCTGCATCGACAGCAAGAGCTTCTGGCGCGTCTGCTTCACTGCGGAAACACGATAGTTTACCTCGGAGGTCCTCTACAACAGCAGCGGCTTCTCCAGTGCCCATTGAGAGTTCTGCGAGTGCAAAGTCTCCTCTGACTGCAAGCCGATTTCGTCGAGCTCTTTGGACACCATCTCGAAGCAGGTTTGTTGTACTTCTATTTGAGTGATTTCTGACTGTTCGCCCTTTTCCCCTTATTTGTGTGGAAAGGTCCTTTAATACTTATTTCTTTCCTGAACGCTTAACGCAGGCCATCCGTAGTGTGAAATCGTACCCAGGGTAGGCAAAATATCAGATCACCAGTGATTCAGGATAAATGATTGTGCCTACCTGTCTACCTATGTTTGAATTTCGAAAAATTTTGTCTAAATTCTTTTGATTTGTGTTTGCCTGCTTGAGTCAATTCTTTCTTTTGTTCAACTGGCGGATCTTTCTCAGTTTCATTTCTGCGCATCCGGACTTTTGTTGTCAAAAGTACTTCGTTTCATTTCTCGTCTGATCAGCCCTTTTCTCCTAGTCCTATTCTAGGCACGAGGGTTTCTGTTTACCTATTGTTCGGTTTCTCACAGTAGGTAACATTTGGCTAAGGATGTCCTAATGATTCAATTTCATTAACTAACTTCCTTCGTCACGGGTGAGGTTATGCCCACAGCATTCAGAAATTGTTACTCGATTGATTTAATTCCAATAATGATCGTGCTCCTTGGTTTGTCTGTGTATTGTGGACAGGTAGATAGGACTGGCTTCCCTTTTTTCAACAAGGCACAGTAATATTGGTCTGATTTCGCAAATAATTCTAGATCAAACACCCCGGCACCTATTGACTCCTCGAATACAAGTGGCGCTACTGACGATTCGGTAATTATCTCGGTATCGAATCTTCTGGACCTTGATGGAACGTCTACCACGGCTTTCATTGACGATGTGGAGGCTGTCAAAAGTGTTGCTTCCTCTTCAACAGCTGCTGGTGGCTACAAACTCCGAACTAACATTGGCTTAGCGAGGGCTTTTGTGCGTCTTGCTCTAGAGAAAAAACGCCTTTCTACCCATCTCAAACTCCTTATGTCGGATTCAACTCTTCTGAGGTGAGTTAGATATTCTTATGTACTTGTATCATTTAAGTAGGCACTATTTTACGGTTAATATTTCTTATGCCTAGGGAGCTCTATTCACGTCACGCTTTCCTGCGCTGTGAGGAGGAAAGGGAGCAATTCCTTATTCACCTTCTCTCCCTTAATGCTGTGGATTATTATTCTTTCACAAGAATGCTACAGAAGGCTCAAATGACCTACCGAGTAGCAATTATAACAGGAGGAATGACAGGCGGGACTCGAAGTCGGTTGCCATTGGCCTCGTCGGCTAATGCCTGGGTTTGCTTGAGAGGTCATTTGGGAAATTCTGGACATATTCATCTGTCTAGAGCCTCGCCTTCTTATGTTGAATTTAGTGTGAGTTTTTTTTCCCACTTTTAACGGTGTTATTTTGCGCGGTTGGTTGGGTTCTTTTTCCTCTCGCCGATTTTCTGTGCCTTCTTTCCATCTTTTCTTAATTTTGATATTTTTTTTTACTATCACTTAATATCAGTCATAGTGTCTATTGTATACCTTCATTTTAGCATGAAAATCTGGGCATACTAAGCACTCTTCTTATTGGCCATGACAACGCGGGTTTCTCACCTAATATGTTTGTGGAGGCTGTGATTGTTATCACACCGCTAACTAACCACACTTATCTGTGGGTTTGCCTTTTCTTTTTTTCCGTCTCTTCGAATTTTAACTTGGATTAAACATATTTTTGTTTTTTTTGTGTAGATTCCCTTGCGGTCATTGGTTGGGTCGTGGGGTTGAAGATAATAGTTGTGAACGCCTCCTAATTGGTCAAATAGCACAGGTGACTAAACAAGGAACTGGTAAGGTGTAAAGGTTAAAACAAAACTATGAAATTTGGTGAAATTCTCAAAAATCTATTCTCTATTCCTATTTGTAAGTTATTATCCCGCGATCCATGATCAGCCCTTCTGTGGAAAATGAGGACACTGCTTCAATAACCACCACTCCCCTAACGCGACTTTACTCAGACACTGTTCTCGATCTTGGTAAGTTGCTGATATCATTTACGGAATGCGAATGAGAGCCTTACTATGAGGTTTAATGGGATATGCAGACATAAATTGACCTTGATCCCAGAGTTGCTTAAAGCGATTGTCGATTCACATTAATTTTCAATGACATGAAAAACTGTATTGTTCCATATAATTACTAAGAGAGGGACAGAAGGTGGGTGGGGGAGGTGAAAGTATACAAGTACTCCACCAGATGAGCTTCAAATGTTACTTTCTTTGTTCAAGCGGAACGCTTAACTTCTATGAGAGTGGAAATTATTTTAAGGAGAGGCTTGTAATAGAGCCTTTGAAGATGAAAGTACATGTGTTCGTGGTGATGATTTCTTATGTTAATCGGATCAAATAGCCTTGTTTTGTTCTGGGTGCACTCTTAATTGGCGATCCCTGTCAACAGCATCGGAGTGCTTGCAGAATGCACAAGTCCCTCTTCTATCCTAGACAACTTCCAAATTTTGAAATAGTTTTATCAGCTGACTCAGAGGTATGAATTCAGTGTTGACTTAAAATTTTAGCGAAATACTCCGATAAATGGCACTTTTAGGCGGGTATTTATGATATTAGCTCTTGAAGGTGGTTTGGTACTTTAATTGCTTATCTCGCTTAGATAATTCTTTGTTAATAATAGTTTTGCAAGAGGGAGTTGAAAATGGCGTTGATCAGGGGGGGGGGGGGGGATGGGNCGGGGGGGGGGGGAGGGATGGGTATTCCATTTTGACATCCTTCCGTTATCCCGTTATCAGCGTTAATCAAGACTTTCAGCGAACATAACAATATCCGCCCATTTTTGCAGCCACCAGCACAGTTTTGGATCATCTGGCCAACGCTGTGAATCGATTGGCCAAGCACTTCGCCTGCACAGGCCAGGCGGAATCATTCATGTCCCTCTCGGCTCTGCTTTGTGGCAAGGAGCACGGCTTGGTACCCGCGCTAGAGGCTGTCTTCACGCATGGCATTCACTCCTCCGGCGTTTTCAATCGTCGACGTCTTTATGCTTGGGATTTCTTTGGCAAGTCATCATTTCCCATGGATATTAGTATGAAGGCTATTGCGCTAGGGTCGTGCGCAATCCTAATCGAATCACGAAATTAAATGTTTAATTTATTTATTTATATCGAATGGCAGGCGTTTTGATGGTTATCATTAGCTCTTTAGTTGACTTCAGGCTTCAAAGAGGAGGAGGGGGAACATCAAAGTGAAAAAGTCGAGAGGGGGGACAGAAGAGTGTTTCAAAGGCGAAGGTAGAAAGGGTAGAAAAAAGGTGAGGTGAGTACTGTGAAGTGGTTGAATATGACACACGGTGGGGTGATGGTAGTTTGAAGTCAGTAGTCAATTGCCAGTTAGTAGACTTTTTAACTGTATGAGTATACGTTGCCCAGGGTGCGCCACGTGGAGATAAGTCTATCGCACGCCCCCGAAATGAAATGTTAATAGAGGCGTTTTAATGCACATATTGCAAGCGAAATTAGTTGCAATTCTTGTTTATTATCAGGAGTCTTATTACGTCTAGTTAAAAATGCGTGCTGATGACTACCATCTAAACGATTTACGTTCACAACTATTTGAAAACAAAATGAATGCAATGGACTAGACTACCTGCTCTTGAATAAGAACCAAGCGTTATAGAAAAACACTGACTGCATTCTATTGGTTGACTAATGAAATTCGAGTTTTGGAACGCGAATCGCCTATTTGGAACCTAGAATTCAAATGTGACAAAACGCTCTCTGTTATCATTCGTTGGACTCCGGGTTATTCCATGTCGCCCGCTTCTCATGATGAAAAGTACACTTTTCTCTAGTTCCATGTTGAATAATCACGATTATTAGTGGTCATTTTGGTCCACTTTCTTGCAATGACACAAGCGGGAAACGAGGAGAGAGGATGTGAAATTTGAACATTCCGAATTTGAAAACAATTATTCAACAATATCGTTTTTCCCAACCACTTTTAATGACCACATGCCAGCTTTCCAAAATCCTCAATTTTCCTTCTTGATCGCCTATTTCACAGACATCTTCGGGTGCTTCCGTTGGAATGTAGTCAGAGAACACACCATATCATTGTTCTTTTAACCAGTTGCAATCCAATATTTACGCTGCCTGGTGACTTCCTTTCAGAATCTTTTTTCTTTTGGGAATGATTTCTCTCTTTGGTGTTGAAGCACATTCCATTTCACACGTGATTTCCCTCTTTGAGATTTAGGTACTTGACTTTACTACGAAGTCCTTCCCCGTAAATTGATCGGGTGGCAGTTGAAATTAACGATAGGCAAAGCTAATCTCAAAATAGACTCATGCTATTGATTTAGATGAGTGTTTCTTCTTATCTAGAACGCTTCGTTGAGCACCATGCTCGAATTGTAAGCAACGAGAATCAACAGTCAAGCCGTCACATAGACGTCACAGACGGTACTTCAGTGAATATTGGCGGTTTCGACGTGAGTTTTGCCACCTCTCCGTGTTTTGCTAGAACCCTTCCACGTCAGAGCACATCTGGATCCGGTCCGAGAAATCTCGATTCTTCTGGTCGGCGAACACCTCTTTTAGGCAGAGCCACTCCTCGCCTCTCGTTGAAGAGTTCCGCTTTGCCACCAATTCAACCGTCTGCCACTTCCTGCAGTGGATGGCAATCTCAACCTTGTTCTCCCGGTGTTGCTCTCCAACGCAGGCAATATTACAACAGTACTCGATCAATCTTCGCTCTTGAAAACTTCATCTCCACATTCCAACATGTTAACAGAAGTGGCTCCCAGATTGGGAAACTCGGAAAGTTCCAGAGAATGGTCTGCATCGGCTGTAGGGATCACACTATAGCTTCTTGGTTCCCGGTTCTTGCTACATCAGCGCCCAATTTGGTAAAGCAGATGTACGATACTAGGATTCCAAACTTTTTGATGGATCCAGATCTAAGAGACAGCGTTCAAACACTTCTGACCACATTGAACGACTTTAAGTTCAAATTGGATCCAGCCCTGCTTGGATCTTGTTCAGATGCCGAATCATCTTTGACGGCGACCATCGATTGAATTTGACATTGATTTTTTTTGTAAAAATGATCTCATGACTTATTTATTTAATCGTGTGGCATTTTATTCATTTTTAAGGTGCAATAAACATACTCTAGTGTAATCTTCATTTGTGACTTTTGTACTCTATAGGGGTTCGCCATAATCTCCAATATTAGCTTCAAATAGGGCATTTCTTGCGGGAAGATTGGGTGTTTAAAAGCGTGTGGAAGAAGAGTGAGGTAGCTTTGAACAAGTGCCGGCCTATCGTCTCATCTCTAGAAAGTGGTTGTTGGTTGAATAAATCAGAAACCCTGAGAAATGGAGGCTGGATAGAAGGCTTAAGTGATTGGGTGGTGCCTGGGTGCACGGCCATCACAGAAGAGCGCTTTCAGTCATTTCCTATTTTGAGTATGCTTAATCGCTCTCATTGGATATATGACAGTATTGTAATAGTTCCAAAGTCTGCCTAGAAAGCGCCTTCCATAATTTATTTATATCAAATGGCAGGCTTCGTGATAGTTATCATTTGTCCATTAGTTGACTTCGGGCTTCACATAGGGAAGGGACATCAAAGTGACAAAAAGTCGAGAGGGGTTCACAGATGTAAAAGAGACAGACACAACGATGGAAGTGGTCGAATACAGCATACAGACGGGTCATGGTAGTTTGAAGTCAACTGCCGGTTTATAGAAGACGGTGCTGACTACTGTGTATGGTGCCACCATACTATGCAGCGCTCTAAAGCCGAGCAGCCGAAAGCAGCTTGCCCAACGTAAAGTGCACTCGAATTGACATTTCCCATCACTCATCTTAAGTGGATTGATGAAAAATGACATTCAGCCAATATCCTATCGGCCAACTTTCGTGAGGGTGTAGAGGTCATGCATTAATGAAAGTCACATCCATGACAACTGCTTCCGCAGACTCGCGTGAGTTGTCTGCCACGCTACCATCGAAAAACTGTCGTGCAAAGTAAAGCACCTCTTTATCCAACCTTCAATACTTTATTTAATTTAAATCAAATGGCTGGCGTTTTATTAGTTAACATTAGCCCTCATGTTGATTTCAGGCTTCACAGAGGGGAAGGAACATCGAGGTGAAAAAAAGTCGAGAGGGGGGGGGGACAGAAGAGTGTTTCAAAGATGTAAAACAGACAGACACAAAGGTAGAGAAAAAGGTGAGGTGAGTACCGTGAAGTTGTTGTGGGATATGACACACAGTGGGGTGATGGTAGTTTGAAGTGAGAAATCAACTGCCGGTTTATAGACCCTTTTTGTCGTATGAGTATGTTGCCCAGGGTGCACCATGCGGAGGTAAGTCCATCGCACACCCCCCCCAATCTTTAATACTAGGTTTTAAAAAGCTGTCGNAGTCCCCCCCCCCCAATCTGCAAGCCACGAATAACAGGGAAAACTGAACCAGAACAGCTCTCAGAGGGTCTTATTTCACCATTTCTCACAACTAAGATTCTACTCGTCCTGAATGGCCTCCCTAATCTCTACCTCTCCACACCCTCGTGGTCTCTTCAAACACTTTAGTGGAGAGCACGTCAACTCGTGGTCCCAATCTACTAATTTAACATCTCATTACGCTTTGACTGATTCCCTCAAGTGAATGAGAGATGAAAAGATAATTTTAATATGTATAGAAATGAATGATTTACTGACAAAATGTATTTGTAATATTAAAAAGCGCAAGAAGGGCAGAGACTATATATCCTTTTTTTCTCATTGTTTGAGGAACATTTTTCGGAAGTCAGCATTACTCTTCGGTGGACCAGTTGCTGCTGCTGCGGCGTCGTCTTTTGTTGAATCGGTGGAACCACCCCCAGCTGTCCGATGAAGTGCTCTAGGCATAAAGGCCAACTGAGTGTGGGCCGTTGATCGTCTTTGAAAGAGAAAAAATATGGATATTGCGGCCATGGTTATGAGGCAAATGTGTCTTCGCCTTGGGAGGCGCGATTAAATTCTCGTTTTTAACTGAACAAAAAATATCATCACAAAACCACTTCCCTCCATGAAACACCTTACTGCGGCTGAGGTGCGCCTTATCAATTACCTTCGAGACACGGCGATTGGAGAATGATTGATTTGCAAAGGTCAACTTTATTAACTTTTGCTCACCCTCCCAATAAATCAATTAACCATTTGTTACAACGTTATAAATGAGAGCAGAAAGGAAAGTGCTTAATTTATCGACCCAGGCAAGTAGAAGTTTATAAGACAACGCCCGACCCGGTCGCCGCAACTAAAAAAATCGAACACGTGGTATCTCTATCAGTCCACATAAGCTCCCTTCGCACAATAAGAACAAACACTCGCATCTACGTATTAATCCACACCCAAACACACACACACACGGCTTCTCTTTATACTCAATAAAGCGCTTCGACCATCGGTATGGGCTCGTCATATTCTATCGTTGCATGGGTAGCGGGGGGGGGGGGGTGGATAGGATGGCTAGGAATCAAAATCGGATACTGAGACATGTTCACCATAGAGTGTTCAAGATCTTTGACAAACCTTTCCAAATACGTTACACCTTACTTAAATAAATAGGGATGAGGAAACGATCAAAAATAAAAGGTGGATAACTTACACGACTGTTGGATTTGTAGATGATTTCGATTTCGACTGTTGCTGTTGCTGGTGATGAGTTGGTTGTGGTGGATGAGACTGTTGGTTACCACTGCCACTTGGACGAGGTGGTGGATTGCTAATAGCAACAGAAATGGCCTTGGAACCAATTTGAGCACCATCGGTGGCTGTAAGAGCCCGACTGGCCTCCTCTTCAGTGGCGAACTCCACATATGCGTGACCCTTCGGCACCCCGTTGCGGAACGTAGCCAACCGAACGCTAACCACTTTGCCGTGCTAAAATTGACAAGGAGGGACAAGTTAGAGCCGACCCCAGTAAATAGATTCCCGTTTCTACGTGCGCACAATTGTCCTACGCTCTCGTGTGTATGAATGTGCTACTCTGCCAAAACCACCGTATGATCAATGATATGCTCACTGAGGCTATGCAAGCTCAATAGGCTCCATTAAATTACTCAGTTTTCCTTTGATTTTGGGTAGATCTGGGCTGACGTTTTAATGGAATGGGCAGTAGGGGAGGGGGGGGGGGGGGGATTAGCTATCGCCTTCGGGCTGCCAGCTTTCCCCATTTCCAAAACCTCCCCCCTATTGTCGTTAGATGACAAGAAAAACCTCGAAGAAAGCCTACATAGTCCCAGTCCAAACAAGTCAGCATAGATGTCAAGTACGTGAATCACTTATCAGAAAGTCCCTCCCAAAGATGGCTTTAAATTTATACGAATGAAAAACAGAAATTTTGAACCCTAAATTCCCATGCAGGTGAGCATATTATAAATAAGTGGAAGTAGTACCTGGCCGAAGAATGTCTTCAACGCCTCCTCACTGACCACTTTGTCAAGGTTCTTGACAAACAGCTTTTTGGGCTCCGGAAACCCAGTGCTATAATGGAATCCCGAGGGCTTTGATCGAGTTGTATCACAGACGGACACGAACATCGGCCTACCAATGACTCCCTTTGCAGTCTTTGTGTTAATAGGAGTACGATCAAGCTCCAAAGCCAATGCCGCCTGGTCTGGAGAGGGGAATTCGACATAGCCGAAACCTTTTGATTTACCCGCGTAGTCACGTACTAGGCGAATTGAAACAACTTCGCCACACTGAAAAAAAGGACAAATACGAGTGTTATTGAATTAGCGGAACAGAAGCCCTAATTTCAGTCAGGGACAACACATAATTGGAACATCAAGGATGCCCACAATACTAAGCCCACCATCCCAGGCCACCAATTTAGAAGCCTTGATTCGGAAGTGTCTATATTCAAGGAGGAGAAAAGGCGTTTATATAAGATTGGAGCAGACAATGCATAAAAGGGACTTTCCGGGAAACCCACCACGACCTAAATTTAAGACAGAATGCAAAAAAAGCTTACCACGATTAAATCATAGCTCAACATGACAAAGAGATGCGAATTGGAACACAATTTTTTACAAGGAAGGGCTATTTCATCTCTCCTGCTCTTTGGAACCAACAGTATATATCTCTACGTGTTCCGATCGTATTTGTTAGAGCTAACCGCAGGTATTGAATACGGCTTCAGACTTAATTTGCAGAACAAAGAGTGTACAAGGAGGTGGAGGTGGGAGGGAGGGTAATACTTAGCTTTTAAAAGCCGCTTTGGTGAGGTATATCGCATTCATGGAGGATTCTGGGAACAACGTCAAGGAACCCAGAATTGCTACTCCATAAGCCCAACGATCAACAAAGACTCTATCAGCACCCGTTTATCGATACGAATACCATTCATTATTAAACTTCAGTTTGAGGTGAAAACACTACTCCCTAGGGGAAAATTATTCAAGGAAGATGCAAATATGAAGGCTGGAGTTTGTAAAATAAGAATTAACTACAACAGAGTGGAAAAAGTAGCAACAGACCTTCTGGAAAATGGCTTTCAACTCATCTTCCGTTGTGACGAAGGGCAGATTACTGATAAAGACTGTTCGATCATCCTTGGTAGGGTCGTGGACAACTGTTTCCCCATGTTTTGGTCGATCGCCCGCACCTTCATCAGAGCAATTTGACCATTTACCAGCTGCAGCATCACCATCGGAAGCAGCGAGCTAGGCATAAACAAAAATCAATACAATGATTGCAAATGGCAACGTGGATTTATATTTCAGCTATGGGGTGTGCGATAGACTTACCTCCACGTGGTGCACCCTGGGCAACGTATATACTCATGGGGCAAAAAAAGGCTTATCTACCAGCAGTTGACTTCTGACTTCAAACTATCATGACCCGACTCTGTCATATTCGACCACTTCCACAGTACTCACCTCGTTTTACCCTTTTTCTCTACCTTTGTGCCTGTCTATTTTACATCTCTGAGACACTTTTGTTCTCCCTCTCGACATTTTGTCACTTCGATGTTCCTCCCCTCTGTGAAGCCCGATGTCAACTATAGGGCTAATGAAAACTATCTTAAGGCCTGCCATTTGACATCAATAAATATTCCAATTATTATCATTGCAATTTGTCAGTCGGGAGTAATTTAGAATGAGGAATTTATTAGGTGCTCATACGACGATAATTGTTAATTCCACCCCAACCCCCTCCCCATTTGAGAACGCATTCCTCGAAGGACGGCTTCGTACTAACAGAATAAATAACCAAGAAGTGCGATGTTCAGGAGTCAACGAGTTAATAAATGAGGCTTTCGACATCTCATGATGATATCAAGATTGCTACCCCAGTGCGTTGAAGAACCTGAATTAGAACATACCAAATGGACTTTTGTCCAGTTTTACAACTAGCTACTGAAATGAGCCACGAGAGGAAGAGCTTGCAACAGACAGTGAGAATCCATGGCTCTACAACAATTACTCCAGCAACGCAATTTGATACAGAGAAGTCCTGAAAAGATAGCCGAAAATTTTACAAACGATTTCGGTTCATCGCTGGTGGAGAAATAGGGGCCGGCCAAGCGAGCACTTGCCACCCACAAGGGACAAGCCAGATGGAATAGGTGTAAACGGAAGGTTGATGTGAAAAAACTCCAAAACTATCGCAAATCGAAACACAATGCACATCAGATGAGACTCTGACAACAAAATAATTCGACACGCTTTGATTGGTTAAACTAGTTCAAAGTTTTCACCTTCTAAAGCTGGTAAAGCACTAAGGCCATAACATCACCCTCCATCCTCCAAGCTAGTCAAACCTTCAAAGGTGATCCAACACCAGCTCAGAGTCTAATATAAAGTATTTCATGCGAATGACAGGCTCCAACCCTCTAGACTAATTTGCCTTAATACACTGGCCAAAATGAGACAAGGAACAAAAGACTGAGTAAAGAGTGAATGGAAACAAAAGCAGCAATCAACCTGAGGAGAAAGCAGCCGAACAATTTCCCACCCTGATTCTCCTCATACCTCTCTACGTGTTCCATACTCCATCGATTATTTGACGTAAAAACCATCACAGTGCCTCTGTCTCTATTTGCTCTCTCTCTCTCTCATGGTGCATCATGTTGCTCTGTTTTCGACATAATTGCTCAGATCTCCGGAACTGGTGGCTGTCCGATGAACGTAGCTTGTCTTAGTTCCAGCGAGCTCCAAAGTGACATCACAACCGCAAAGAATCTAGTACATTATTAACCGAGGAACGGAGGAACTCGACTTTAATCATCATTTGAATGCGTTAAACCCCAGCTCTGTTTCTGTATTCCAAACCGTGATGTTCATTGGTAAGAGAACACCACGGCAACACATCCTCTCCACGAAATATATATATAGAGAAAAACGCATTGCCAAAACGTTGGATTGTTTATGAAAATCGGGCCGTAGGCCAATGATACAGTGCTCATTGAACGAAGCGTTTGGGGGCACCAAATCTCCACTGTTGGCATAGAAAATATCGCACAACTCGAGTGTAAAGAACCCCCCCCCCCCCTCCTCCCCAACTTTAACATTGTTAAGAGAGTTCAACTGCTTCACCACAGAAATTATACATTCAGAGAAAAAAACACTTACCTTCGGGCGTTTTGAGTGGGTTGCAATATTTTGAACTGCAGATTCGGCTTTTCGTTTTCCAGATTTCGGGGACTTCTCCTGCTGAGGTGCATTCGTCGAACGGTTTTCCTGATTTATAAGAAAAGGATAAGAGAGTACTGCATGAAAAAGCCGATGGAACCATAGTGGCATAGAACGAGGACCATTGGTCTAAGCCCACAACCTCATCAAGCAATCAGAAACTGCATTATTGAATATCATTGAATATTCAAATAACACCCCCGCCCCTCCCATTCCTCCTCCTCTCCCCCAATTCCAACCTTTAACTCTTTATTTACCTGGTATTAATCCTACCTCTCCTGGTGGATTCTTAACAGCCTATATAGACCAAGGTTTACCACACACAGATACTCAGTCCTTTCCTCACTAACTACACTTTCAACCTCTATCACTCTTAGTACTATCTTAACTGTTTCCCATCTCTGGAGCACTGTGATTCCTGACCCTAGAACTTAGCCTCCTGTGATTTAATAGACAGCTTACAGATTTCCGTTGGTTCTGGGAATCATTTCCAGCTTCATTGTCTGCTTGAGCATTACTCGAAGACGACTTTAGGCGATTTCGACGCAGGGTGACCTTGGCATCGAACTCCTTGAGTCGAGCGAGATCCAGAGCACGTTCAGTGAGGCATCGACGCGCCGTCTCAAACACTGTCTCTGCGTAGTGGCCTGTCACTGAATTAACAGCCATTCCAGCAACGCGCAAAAGGTTATCGACGTCGTCGTAATTCCTAAAGATGACAGAGAGAAAAGCGATAAGATCACGCCATCCATAGCATCTGAAGCGGTCTTCCCAAATGACAGGACATTGGTTTCCATTTTTTTAAAAAGGTACAAGGCGGAATGCATTCTGGGAGCCTCCTTCATTCATTAAGGGGCCTCTAAGACTCTCCCATCCTGCACTCATTACTTCTCCTTATTTCAAGCTTTAGGTGAAGTGGCATGGGTTAGGTTATTAGCCACACGAACTTGGGAGTATAGCAGTTTAATACTATCGACATCCCAATCAACATTTGGGGAGTACTAAGCATATTCTGTAATAACTAAAGGACTCATGTTATGTGCGCATCATAGTAGAAACCATCCAATTTGATGAAATCAGACCAGTTGCAGAATAAGGGCCTCACTCTGCTCCAAAATAATTACGTGTCAACGAGAGATGATTATGGGTACTTAAGTGATAGTACATCAAAGGCATGTTTAAAGACTCACTTCAAAAACTCCAAGTAGGAAATCCAAAAGGCATTATTGTTCCCATTGTGTCCGTCTTTCAACATCGTCTTCCAAAGTTCCCGAGCGCGTTCGATATCGCCGAAAAATTTCGCCTACAATTGAGCCGGGGGTGAAAAAGATCGATATCTTATCAAATGAGAAAATAGCACTTCCGGATCAATACAGAAGAGAGGTGGGGAATTGTGCAAAGCGCTACACTAATCAGCTTAATGAACGCAAGACCTTCCGATAAAAAATATCCAGTCAATGCCTTGATCTCCTTTCCGGTTATTAGCCGAGAATCGACAGATTCGGCTCATGTACAGTAGTGAATTTCCAGGCAAAGGTTCGTGTAGTACTTTCAAACCCTCAACTAATATTAACTACATCGGAGCAATTGAATTAACATTTCGAAAAATTGGCATCTGTTCACCGTAAAAAGCAAATTTCTGACTCGACTATAATATACAAGCTAAAGGGAAAAACTGTGTTCTAGACGTTAAAGTGAGAATAGACAATTCCAGTAGATTTGTGGAAATTCATAAAGTCCTTCAGATTCCAACATCCAAATTTAGTAAAATTGGGTAAAACACAATGGAGCTCTTTATCATATTTAATACAAAAAATTTAAATTTAAATTTTTAGGCCAATTACGTTTAGCTCATTCTAGCCAGCCAACTGGTCAAAATAAAGTCGAAGAAGTATCGCAGGGAGTAAAATCACAAAGCTTAAATAGTAGACATCAGATTATATTCCGTGAATTCGGGGTGTGCGATAGACTTACCTCCACGTGGTGCACCCTGGGCAACGCACATTCATACGGCAAAGAAGTCTATTAACCGGTAGTTGACTTCTCACTTCAAACTACCATCACCCCACTGTATGCCATATTTGACTACTTCCACAGTACTCATCTTACCTTTTCTCTGCTCTTTTGTCTGCCTCTGTCACATCTGTGAATCATTATTCTGTCCCCCTCTCGACTTTTTGTCACTTTGATGTTCCTCCTCCTCTCTGTGAAGCCTGAAGTCAGCTAAATGGCTAATGATAACGATCAAAATGCCTGCCATTTGAAATAAATAAATAAATACTCCGTGAATTCAATATACACTGTTTGAAGGATTGCACCAAAACACTTTTCTTGAGCAACACTAATGCGAAGTGATGGAGAATCATGTTGGCGTTTTTTTTCGTTGAATTTTCTTGAATTGATTTCAATCGTCTTAAGTGGAGACGTGATAACTCAGGGTTAACCGATAAAAAGTCAATAAACAGAAATGCTTGCGCGAATATCATAATGGCGGCGCGCACAGTCGATCCGGGGGTTACCTCGGTCTTCCCATATCCCTTCAAAATTTTCTCTATCTAGTTGCGCTTTCGTAAGCGCTCTCCAGCATGATTAAATCTCCCGCACAATTGCTCCAAATATGCGTTTATCTGCGAAGTAAGCCTTTGACCACTGGAGGTCTCAACAAACCCCAACAAAAATAAATATCCTCCCAGTTACACATCATTTCAAAACTTTTTTTTTCATTTAAGAGAAAGGATATTTACCTCAACGAATGCCCAATAGCGATAAATGGGAAATTCCTGTTCAGCATTTTTGGGAAAAGCTAAATTCGAAAACAGAAGTTATAACAAGGGGAAAGAAGCGAAAACCAACCCAACGAGATATGCGTTTGAGCTCTTTGGAAATTATCTCTAAGCATCTTAGTGGTTCGATCTAATGAAATAGAAGAAAAAAAAGAAACTGGATTATTGTTGTACTGATGTGGATTCCAGTCTAGCTACAGCAGTCTGATCACACATGCTGCTTAAATGTGTCCCCACTCTACCTCAGTCGTTTTCCACGATGAAGGACTAATCGTCTCCCCACCTCCCATCCCCCCGCCCACATCCCCTTCTTGAACTAGCCTTGTAGTTGAGTAAAGAGGGGCTTTGAGAGCCTAAGTGCGATACCACAAAATCATTGAGGAGAGAGAGCTTCTTCGTGTTCGTCTTGAGCAGAGAATGTCGTCATCATAAAGGCCCCATGGTGGGAGACTCATTAGATTAGATGGACAGCCAATGTGGTTGGACATTTTGAAGCACTATATGTGTCATAATTAAAGTCTCCTCTCTCCCCCCCCCCCCCCCCCCCCCCCCAAGTTAAAGCTTGTCTTTGTGCACGTAGCTAGCTACTTATTGAAGCCCTTTAAAACATAAAACATTAATAACTACACAAAAAAAGGAGAGAGAGCACCATAGACGCGCACCTTTGATTTGCGGATCGTTGAAATTAGAGATGAGCCGAAGAAGAAAGTCACAGTAGCCCATCCAAACAGCTGTGAGTTCACTGGGAGTTGAAAAAGCATTACATAGGGCGTTTTCAAAGACTTCTGTAAGGGAAAAACGGCACCTCTTTACCCAATCGTGGTAATAATAATTTACTATAGAACAGGAATGGATCATATCAAGACAGTTCTGAACTACCTTAATAAATTTAGACACCAATATTTCTGCTTCCTTTGTGGTTTCAAGAAGCTTGAAGTAATGACAATAATCTTATAACAATGGCACCTAACCATAAATTTAAAGTATATTCAAGACGAGAATGAAGTGGCTTAAGAATAAAAAGCACTTACGTCTAACAGGATCAAACTCCTTAGAAATATTATACGTAGAGCCTTCTTCCATTTGGTCACCATTGGCAGAAGAATGAGCGAATTCGGTCAGAGCTTTCGTCTCAACTGCTCGAGCATAACGGCACCAAAGATCCGCACTCCAAGTGACATTCCTCACCGCCCTCTTCAGGGTATCAATTAGCCTCTGTTGATCGGCTGACACGTAAATTTCCAGGTAATCGGCCGCCTGTTGCCAAATCTCGGCATGGAGACACAAGTCAGTTATGGCTCTCTCGTAGAGGCAGATCATTTCCAAGGGAGTGACCGACATCTCCCCGGTGCCTTCTGCTTTCTTGATATTCGCTTTCGTCCCCTTTCGGGTGGCACGCTCTAATGAATAATTCAAGTAGTCTTGCCATGCAGTGAGAAGTGCTGATTGATCTTTAGGTTCGTCTTCATATTCCTCCTTGTCTCCTTCTTGATCTTCTTTAATATCTGATATCTTCAGCTCAAATTTCTCCAAGGCCTCCCACTTCTTTTTGGCAGCTTCAAAATCGGCTATACAAGCAGGGGAAGGTTCCGAACCTTCTAGAAATTCCTTATACTCCTCCATTGTTGAATCTAAATCTGTGGGAAGGTATTCAATTTGTGATGTAAGGCAAGCACAAACCTATATGAGGGACAGCGAGATGGCGTCGGTAGATGCTATCGATCTTCTTTACCTGATCCTCCATCGCTGCCTCGTCCTATTTTGAAAAAAGGCGAGATGACACACACATATGAAGCCAGACTTACCGCATTATTACACTGCAGTTGGACAAGGCAGACTTTTTCGAACTCCCGATAGATTTCAAACAAAACATGACCGTTACTAAAATTGAGTCCTTGTGATAATAAAGCGGATTCTAGAACGCTGCGAGTTCGATCCAAATCACCAGAAGCGGCTATCTCCCCAATAGCAAAGTGGCAATACTCCAACCAAAGGTCCACACCTACAAATACAAAGCGAGCCTCTTTGATCTGAAATTATAAATTATCTGAGGAATCAGAAGATGAGAGCCCCAGCATTGCCTAACCTTTATATACCCATCGGACAACGAATGAAAATTAGACTATAGTCGCTTATATAGCTACAACTACCTAGACCACTAAAAGAGATGACAAAAGAGTTGTTGTTGTTGTGGTTCCAAAAAAGTTGGGGGATTTGTTTAGTGTCCCTGTAATGAACTTTCTCCGAAGGAAGATAAAAACTGAAAGATTACGAGGAATGGTAGCATGAAAACTCAAAAAGATAGAGATTTAGAATAACTCTAAAGAATAAACCATTGTTAATTAGAAAAAGAGGCTATTCAGACCAGGTTGGATACTAAAGTGCATACTGGAGACGTAATTACAAAAGCGAAAGCAAGATACGGGCCAAAATGATACTGAAGACATAACTAACAAAATCGAGTATCTAAGCACAGATAGGTTGAAACAACCACAGGAGATGCAAAAAACACATTAATGTTTTTTCAATAAAAAAGGAAAAATTATTGAGTATAATGAGTCAAATGCAATGGTAATCAAAACCATGAGACATGAGACTCAATAATTACTGAAGAAATGATACGTTCATGAGATTTAAAATAAAAAAGGTTTGGAAATTACTTTGGTAATCATTTAGTGCTCTTTTGAATAGACTCTCTATTGGATCGCGACTATCATCTTCCTTCAAAAGCGCCCTCTCATCCTCAAACCAATCAAGCCACAATTCTAAAAAGAAAAAGAATAATAAAAAGATAATAACAAAGGAAGCAGAATACGTGCCAGGCGTGAGAGGAAAATTCTCCGCCATTAATTCACGAGCATCATGAAGAAGATCGTATTCCTTAGCAGCACGAAGTAATTTTATTCGACGAACATGAGCATCATAAGCAAAGGGATCTAATTTTATCTAAATGAAAGAAACATCCCCGTGATTACCATTACTAAAAACATACCTGTTCCGAAAGATTTTGAATCTCGGCTTTCAATGAATCTATATCAATGTCGTCAACGTCGCTTTCCTCTGAGCTCATTATCAAGCTATATGTAAGAAAATATGTAAATAAATACAAAGCAATTACAATCTCTAAAACAAATTCATTAACACCAAATAATGTGTTTCAATAATTATTAATAACATTGTAGGACTGATTCATGGTAAAAAATTGTATTAATAACAAACATACGTAAAACAATCGGCACTAAACGAGTATTGCAAACGCACAAATTCGGTATTTTAAATCACGAACGGTCACCGTAGATATTTAAAACAAACCAATTATATCTTTCTTAATTGTGCCATGAATGAAAAAACATGTTTCTTTTTCTATTAACTTACCTGGCATTAATTTAGCTGCATTATGAGCATAACTGTATCGAAGGCGCAATATATATTCATTACACGAAAAGGCATTGCGTAATCTAGAAAACCAAATGTAAAAATTTTGTGTTTACAACTAGATTCAAATTTGATATTATTATTTTTAATAATTCTTTTGCTGTTTTCCGCATAAATTATGAATTTAAGCTTTTTAATATTTCAGGCTTACATTCACGTTGTTAATCCTGGGCAACGTATACTCATACGGCAAAAAGACCATAACTTGGTAATTGATTTCTAACTTCAAACTACCATCAACCCACTGTATGTCATATTCGACTACTTCCACAGTTCTCACCTCACCTTTTTTCTACCTTTGTGTTTCCCTTTTACATCTTTGAAACACTCTTCTGTTCCCCTCTCCCCTCTCGACTTTTTCACTCTGGTGTTCCTTCCCCTCTTTGGATCCCGAAGTCAACTAAAGGGCTAATGATAACTATCAAAATGCCTGCCATTTTATATAAATAAATATTTCAGATATTTATTTAAAATCGTAGTAAAAAGTATATGTCAGCTCTTTTGCATTAAACATTCTCAAGTGGTTGAAAGTTCAATAATAGCTATCGATTTTATTATATTTCAGTTTTTTATTCCCTATATAGATATTGAAATTAAGCTACAAATGTGTCTTAATGTCATTTACCTCTCAAACGAAATTTTCGAAAGTCGTTCCCTTCCGTAAACATACCGCTAAAAATTTATAAAACTTGACTCCTTGGGTGTTGGGGACGCAGTTACCTCATATCGCTGACGAACACTACCATTCAGTCTTGAATCATTTGTTCCTAATACTCGTCGTCTTGTATGCCGAGAGTTATGGGAAAGAGACGATTCATGCTTTTCTCACATTATGCATTTACATTACCCTGTCGGTAATCTTGCAATTTATTGACTTCTTCCAGTGTAATTTTGACATGCTTGCTAAGATAAACACTGGGATGCCTCAAAATTCACTTCATTTGTTGAAGTTCTTTCAGAATCATTAGATCGTTCTTGCGGTGGAGAATTTTCAAGCCTTCTTTTCGTTTCTCCCTCCTCAAAAGAATGGCCAATCATTTGTTTTAGTGTGTTTGTTAATGGCCATTCACATGACCTGTGAAATAGATCACTTATTGGACACAAAGTGTTTAAGTTAACGTTGCGGTAATCCGTATCCGTAAATTATTCAGAATCTCCGCTTCTGCTGCATGTTCAGTCTGACTCGCTTATATACATACAAATATATATATATATATATATATATATATATAAACATATTTTATTAAAGGCGAAGAATGATAGGCACATTTATTTGAAGTAGAAAAAAACTACTTGCTAAGATTACATGTATTATATACATTTTATAAAAGAAACATTCCAACGTAAATAGCTTCAGTACATATTGGATGGAAACTGAAAATGTTGACTTCTACGTGAATGGAAAGCATCGTATTTTCGACGTTGATTATGATGCTCATATTGTTGCATAGGCATCTCATGAGAAGTATCAACTTCCGACCCGGAGTAAGATTCCCCATCGTCGTTGTCATTCCCACTCATCGATTCGTCTGATTCTTCTTGATTTAGATCCTCGATGTCTGGAATGCTGTCCGCCTCCTCCTCCTCTTCCTCATTCATCTCCATGATATGCATGGAGGTAGAGAGTCGACGAGAAGCCACTCTTGGAATTCCCAGGGAACCCCGAAATGCTGATGAGGAACGTTGGCCAGTGCTCACCCCATAAGCAACCCTTCCACGAGGGTAGACTTGCTGGAAGCGTTTGTGTTGGTAATCACTTTGCTCCTTATACATTCGGACTGCCAGAAAGCGATTAAACACAAACAAGTTAGAAATAAGTTTATATTATAGTTAGCTAAAGGGAAGCCCACAAGGTGCGATCAAATAGATAATTTGAAGCCTAGGTCAATGGCGTAACTGTCTAGATTGAAAGATAGACAAGAGTTGAGGGGATTGTAGTTATCATGACAAAATGACCGCTTCTTCCCAGCACCCGAATTCCTTACACACCTTGATCCTTATTTCCACCTCCAACACTTTTTATAGAGGTTAGGCCATTTGCTTACCTAAATGATATGCCCTACTACATATCTCTAGTGAGAGAAAGGAAACTCACAGAAATCATTGGCCGAAAGGTGTCGAAATCTGTAGATCCAAAGTCTTTGAGCGGAGTCGTACATCACGGGAGATTTTTCACCCTCACTTTGCAAACGATCTAACGCAGAACTGATACATTGATTGAGCTGAAATAAACAACAATGCAATCATTATCATTCATTTTGTCAAGGAATGTTCTGGACAGTAATAATCTATAATAATCTCCGTTAAGTCAGATAAACACAATAGAGAAGAGTTGATTCGATGTTTCCATATCTTTGCTTCGGATCTTAGCTGGCAAAACATGCGACCATTCATTCATTTCAAATGGCAGGCGTTTTGATAGTTATCATTAGCCCTTTAGCTGACTTCGGGCTTCACAGGGGGAACATCAAAGTAACAGAAAGTCGAGGGGTGGGGAACAGAAGAGTGATTTACAGTTGTAAAAGAGACAGACACAAAGGTAGAAAAAGGTGACCAAATGCATCGAATCTATTTCACTAGCAATCTTTTGACCTTTATGGTATTCAACTTTACAATGTTAATCAATTGAGGTTTATCGTTGATTAGTGAAGCAAGGTAAGTGAAAGAGCTAGTTCGATTAATCCAAAGGAATTAAGAAAGAGCAGCAATCACACCTATAATGAAACGAACCTGCTTAAAATTAAATGGTGAAACAAGATACCCACTGTCCTGAACCAACATCGCGATTTCGGGTCTTGTACCTTCCCCATTAGGAAGCCTAGCAACAGCATCACGAACAATCTCCGAAATCGATACCCAAGGAGGGCGATCATTGCGTAAGAGTGGGTGATCTCTAGCGGAGAGAGTAGCCCGCATTTTATTTCCACTGCCATCTCTAAAGACAGGCGCAACAACTGAAGCGTAACCATGTTGATTGTAGACAAAAGGTGCCCAAGGTGTGGAGAAACGCTTCTCTTCCTAATTTTAGGACAAAATGGTTATATTATATGCTACTTAATTTATATTAGTAAAAAGTATTTAACAAACGAACCTGTTCTTGAAATTGACGACGCTGTTCAGGGGTTGAAAGTGCGCATTGCCAATCTGTGGTACTAGAGAGAGCCAGAAAGAGGAGATCAACGTTAGGATCGGCCACGAAGCAACATTATTTAGTTTAAAAATAATCAAATGCGTAGCTCAATAAGCAATAAAACCCTCTAAGGTGCCGTGAAATTATACAACTGCCCAATGTAGAATAAGGGTAACACAGCGTAATTGACTCTTAGCAAATGAAAGTGACATGAGAGGGTACTGATGAATCGCCCACTACTAACACAAAGACGATCTAACGAATGGTAGACTACACTAGCCTCGTAAATAAATGGAGCAAGATTTGTAGTAAAAAGAGTATGGCTAAAATCATATGAAAACGCTTGAAGAAAATGATGGCAAAATGAAATGACAAGCATGAAGGAAAGCCAACTTGAAAAAATAGTCATCCTGATGATTCTTGCTATTACTTTGGCTGCCAATTTTAGCCAGTTACGGTTGTTTGACTTTAAAGAGATGTTGCAGATTACAGTTTCTGTCACTGAATCACGTACATTAATTCGTCGTCTGTAGTTTTCACTATCTTTGATTTACCTCCAGCACACATCCACACAATTAAACCTGCAATATTTAGGCATAACCTCTACGGGAACTTATAAAACGCATTTAACCGACAGAACTCACTAATACGGGGGTGGCACTTGTTCGGGTTTGACCTGTCGACGTCGAGACTTAGTCGCTGCTGAGGGAGCCTCCTGCTCTTCCACATTGTCTGAAAAATGGTCAACTTCATCTTCCTCATGTTCGACCTCGTTACGGGAAGAGGGTTTAGGGAGCTGCTTGCAACTACCACCGCTGAGGTCATTTCTTCTTGCCCAGAGGCTGAACAAACGGGCCAATGTTGCCGTTTCGGACTCGGCAGCTTCAACAGGGTCTTCTGGGCAGAGAGTGCTACGGTAACCAAGCCAACTCCAAGAGTGGGTAGTAGAATTGAATCGTACAAAATTTGGAGGAGAGGCCAAAACGAGGGTAGAGTTCTTGCCGGCGAGAAGGGAAAGTGCAGGCCGCACAAATTCTGACCAGTCTTCGCACTGTAGAAAAGCGGAAAAGAAAGCTGCTTAATATTTATCTCAACCAACACTACTAGGAGGCAAAATCTTACTGTCCACTACGTACGATCGACAGATAATACACCTCCTAACCTTCCCCCCTGCCTTATTCCACTTTAGCTTCCTGTTTACCAATCCTAATCACTTTAGTTGGGTATGAACTGCCTTTTGACAAAGTTTATGCCATTGAGCTTAATGATGGTATTACGAGGTTAAGTCAAAATTTTCTCAAACAAATTTCACAATTTATGTATCTAACAAGTGATAACATTCATTATTCTACATAGGCCCCATTATTTTCATTACACTTTTGTAATCTATATTTCCACCATTCCATGGGGTCATGAAATTACATGCTTTTCCGTAAATTGGAGTGCCTTTAACGGGCTCTTCCAATTTTAGAAACGAAAAAACGTCTGAGAGATAGGACTTGTGAATTATTAAACCCATTTCGTCCACAAGATATTGAGAAGTGCTTACGGTAGAACAGCTATAAAACCGACTCTATAAAAGCGGCACATATCATGGCCTTATACCCTTTCAAAAACTCTTGACGTGCCAATTTGAGGTGCTTTAGATCTAATAAGACCCCGCTTCTAACATTTGGTCAGTCGCGGAGCCTGCATAATCAGTTCCCATAGTCTCACTTTGATATACTGGAGCATGCTGTTCTCGACTACTTGGCAGAGAGTCACGATAAGAACAGACATGGATGACGACTTACACGCACTCACAGAGTTCGGTTATTTATTAAAATACTAAGGAATAAATGCAATTTATTCTTATTTCCAAACTTCAGCTTCCAATGCCTAGTGAGAGCACAGGCCACATCGGTAGAAACTAAACTTTCTAGCGGTACAATGGCCTACATGGAATTTTCCATACAAGCGACATATTGTTAGTGATGAAATAATAATAATAATAATAATAATAATAAATCTAAACAAAAAACGAACGAACCCGAGATATCCACTGTGAATTAATTCGCCGGACACGATGATCGGATGACCAAACTCGAACAATTTCGCAAAGTTGTTCTGCAGAAATTCCATCTTCAGAATCAGCCATGTTGGTCATTATAAGGCGCAGAGCATTAAAGAAGCCCCGAACGTATCTACATAACAAAAAAAGAAATGAATTAAAAGGAAAACAAGGTAAAACCAGCGATTGAGAGTAAAAAAATTGGACTTACTGCATTAGCTCAGGAGGGAAGTTGCACAACTCATCACTAAACCAAAGCAGAGAAGAAATTAAATGAAATGCAAGTTACTTAAGCTTCCTCTTTTTACTAGGAGGTGGTGCATTTCGAGCTTGGTTTGCCGCAACTTTCGGCCGAGACGCCTTTCGTTTATTCTTTTTATTAGCTTTGGAGTTACCATTTTCATTGTCAACTGCCGCAATAATATCGGCAATGCGGAGATTCTTAAAGTCCTCTTTAGTGAATTCTCTTTGAGACCTTTGAATATAATCCGAAATTAATGTTTCAACATTAATTTCTTCGTTTGCAATAATTGGCAAATCTTCATTTCCTATTTTTTTAATAAAAAAGGAGAATCACGTACTTGGAAATAAAGGGATACTTTCAAGAGATATAGCATCATGTGATTCAACAGCTGATAGAATTTTATTCATTCGATCATTCGCATTCGACTTCAGATTATCTTCGTCCTTAAGCACATGAGAATACCTTCGAAGGCAATCATCCTCTCGCGGCGTTATTGGTATTTTTCGTTTCTAGAGAAATGACAAATACGTACGAACTTACCAATTTTTCATCAACGATTTCCTTAAGTCGTAAAATCCGGTGACGCAACTGACAGAGGAGATCTTCGCGATCCTTATATAGTAAATGAAATAGAGATGAACACGGTATGTTCTCAGAGTCCGTTGAAATAACTGGGGTAGCTTCAGCGCCTTCAACCATCACTTCAGGTTGTAAACGTCAGACAGATCACATATCGAGATAAGTCTTAATATTCGATTATCGATTTAATGGACTGTCTACAAACTAACTGATATTTTATTACTTATTATTAAAAGAATCTTTTTCTAATTTTTAAAAGATTTTTGAGATACATTAAAATTAAATGCAATCTCGATATACCTTATGCAATCCTATTTGCAGATGTTAAATTCAATAGCAAGTAAGAGAAGTATTAAACTTTGTATCACAAACAAATGCGGTCTATTTGCCTAAATTCTGTATTGTGTTTTAGTAAAGTTCTGTTTTTTCAATTTTAAACTGCAACTAATCTGTATGTATATATTTTTTAATGTTACCCTATACTTAAATACTCTCAGCTACATCGATGTTATAACATATAATACCGATAATCCAATAAATACTGTCTTGAGAATAACATTTACTTCCATTTGTTAATGAAGAACATTTAGACCAGTCAAGGTGATGAAAACTTTAAACATAATTATAAATTGTCAATGAACTGGAAATGCAAGGAAATACTCAAATTTATCTTGATGAAGGATCATCATGCCAATCACTATTATCTCGGCATTTTTCTTGATAATTATCAACGCAAATAATTTTTCTTCATTAAATATTTCGGATCACCTTTGATATTTAAAAAATTAGTACTAATATTGGGTAACGACAATAAAATACCTCGAAAAATTGCAGTAGTCACAAATACAAGACTCCACCAAATCCTTAATATAATCTAGATATACAGGGCAAATAAGGTCATCTTTTAGGTGAAGTAAATGGAGAAAATCTGATATCTCCCTTGAAACAGTTATTTTCATCTTCATAAGAAAATATATTTTCCAATTATGGGGACAATGATAAATATCAAAAGGCCTGCCGATTGAAATAATATTTTCCAGTTATTAACACCATGGTGAACCTGAAGTAGTCAGATGTTGCTGCAGGTTTTGAGTCTGCTGGCACCTAGTGATCAGAGGTCAACTTCGCCCTCGATTCGTTTACATGTTTGGGTGTATTTCCACGTAGACATCGACAACTAGGCATGACTGATATCTCAAGCAGAAACTTTTATATAATAGCCGTAATTTGTTATATAAGTAATATCCAGTTACTGACCGTGGTACATTAATTGGCTCAAATTAATTATTCTCTGTCGTCCAGGTATACATTACATAGCATAAATTCTACACCTTCGAATTTTCTAAAACTCACAAAAAACTTTCCTTGAATTTGAGGAATTCGGTTACGATAATGTGTTTGAAATATTATTTTTCCACATTTCTATAAACTTATTTATAAGTTTTTCAGATTTATTGCTCAGGTGTCATAATTATTTTACCGTTTATTCTACTGAAACTGCTATTTTGAAATTTACTAAATTATCCTAATAAAAATTGTACCGGCGTCAAAGCACATTTCTAGACAAATTGGTAATTACAAACTACATCGTGTTTAGATTGCTATTTGTCAGCAATAAGGAGCGGAATACATAAAAGATATTTAGCTCGAGTTATTCATGTTGCAAGAACAGGATGGATATATTGATGAATAAGTTATCTTTATATGCAAATGTTTTCCTTGCCAAAACTCATCCATGTTTTGGTGTGAAGATCAGCAACTGTTTGGCTTTTATTTTAAAACATATTCACAGCTGGACAAGCAGTGTACACCTTAGTCTGTCAATCGCTTCAATTAGCTATGTGTTGGTTGATATCTGCTTTGGAGGCACTAAGACCAGGTATAGTTTATTATTAAGCAACTTGAACATATCTTTTATCAAAATTAACGTTTGCTCTCAACAAATGGGATTGATACACAATTAAATTTTGCAGATCTAAAGATTGCGAGTTCTTTGGACTTAATTTAAGGTACGACTTGTTCGCACCTATACCCAAAGCAATTATTTAAGTATGATACAACATAGATATCATTTTAACTTCCAAATATTTTTGAGTGGTTCATGTACAGATTCCATAGGAATTGAAAATCCGCTTCAATTGCTTCGGAATCAATGTAAACTGTAGGGATAAAATGAATGCTTCTATAGTCAATCACTTTAATATAACTCTAGTAAAGAGATGGTACTCGGAAACTGCTTGAGTCAACTGAATAACCATTCATTTTATTTTTTACTTATAATACAACAACATTGGAAGTAGATAGGTGCAGAGATTGTAAAAAATTATAACAAAGAAGGTAATTATGAAAGGTTTTAAAATTTTGCATGTTACTTGTGGTTAGTGTATTTTAAATATCATACCGCTTTCCTATTTCATTTGTTCCTTACACAGGGCATGTTGTTTATTGGCCTTGAAAAAATCTGCCCTTGAAGTATGCAATAAAAGGCACGATTTTGAGCAGCTAAACTGCTTCAAGTCTCCATTCTCAATTACAAAATGGAGGCTGATTCAACAAAAAATGAATTCAAGGAAGGCGAAGAAGTCCCAGACAACGCCGCTTCAACGTAGGTTGGTTTTAAGATTCTATTATTTTATAGCCCAAAAGCTAAAGTACATTTTTGGTCTTTAATGAAATATGCCTCAAAAAAAGAGATATTAATACTGTCAGTTGGAGTATTAATGAGTTGTGGTGTTGGTTCCTCAATGCCAATTACATTTTTTGTCTTTTCGGATCTTGTTAACGATTTCCTTGGTTCAATTTTGGGTGGAACTTTTTCATTTACACCAATTATTAATACCTTTGCCATCATTGGAGCCGTAACATTCGTTGTTGCATTTATACAAATGCTTTGCCTCCAATCAAATGCTAAATTGCAAGCAAGAAAAATTCGTCTTCTACTATATGAAGTAGGTCTTCATTCAGTGCTTAACCCTATTTCCTTCCTCAGAGAATTCTAGCCCAAGATGTGGCTTGGTTCGATGAACAAAATGTCGGCAGTTTAATTACAAAACTCACAGAAAATATCGATAAAATTGAGGCTGGTATCGGCGAAAAACTGGGAATTTTCATCCAATGTATTATCATTTTCGTCAGCGGTCTCATAATCGCATTCACCAAGAACTGGAAGCTCGCTCTGGTGGGTTGTGCTGTGTTTCCTCCAATTGCAATTGGTTTTGGCATTCTGGGGATTATTGTACGAAAGTACACAAATCGTACAATAGCAGCATATGAACGCGCGAATAGTATTGCAAGTGAAGCCCTTGGTGCCATTCGAACAATTTTAGCTTTTGAAGGGCAGAAATCGGAGCAAGAACGCTATATGTCACAACTTAATGAAACTGAAAAATGTGGGATTAAAATGTCCGTCAGTATAAACGGAAGTAAATTTCAACCTCTTTTTCTTATTATTGTAAACCCGAAGAACTGAAGACAATTTTTTATTGCTTTTTTAGTACTCGGAATGTCCGAAGCCTTTATCTATTTCCTTATCTCAATAACTTTCTATTATGGTATTGTTTTATTGAATGCCAATGAGTCAAATGCTGGTGACATTATTATGGTATGCTCTTTGCCGATTGTCAGCTTTATTAGTCAAGATTTGTCACATTTCATGCAAAAAAGATACTCTCTTATTCAGGTGGTATTCATCATGCTAATTGGTGCAATTACGGTCGGCCAGGCTCTATCTCAAGTCGATTCGTTCAATATTGCCATGACTTCAGCTGGTGAAGTATTCCCCATAATTGATCGCGTAAGCCTCACCCCACACATTAATTAATGTTATAATAAATAGATTCAATGAAATGCTAATGCGTAGTAAATATTAATCAAGGAAGTTGTTTCCTTTTTAAGGAGCATTGTCTATCTAAAAAAATATACCTTCGTTTAGTTTGATTCCTTGTAAATGACAATTGTGGGGAACAACGACTGGAAAAGAATAAAATGAAAGTCTTAAGTACATAGCATGATTAAAACAATTTCAAAACGATGAACACGGTAATTTAGCTAACCGATGTACAATTAGCATGGGTTTAATGATGTTCTACCAGATGTATGATCGAAAAGAAGGATAAAGAGAAGAGGTCAGATCTTAATGAAGTTTGTTTCGAAGCTCTAAAATCAAGATCAAGAGAACTGTTAGTAGGAAAGGTTCACAAGGAATTTTCTATGAAGATGTGATTTTAAACTAAATTTGAGGAAAAGGAGAAAATCTAAAATTGTTTTTTTTTCTCTTGACGACAACAGATTCCATCGGTCAACAAGACTGGCGGCGGTACGATTTTGAAAGATCTGAAAGGCGAAATTACTTTCAAAAATGTGCATTTCTCATATCCTACCAGAAAGTCGGCGAAAGTTTTGAATGGTCTCACACTGAATATCAAGGGTGGTCAAACGGTTGCAATTATCGGCGCAAGTGGTTCAGGAAAGAGCACAGTAATTCAGCTCATTCAACGATTCTATGATGCAGATGATGGATCTGTAAGTGACTTTGTCAACCGCATTATTGTTGTTTGCTTTCAATGATGAAATCATGACTTATTCAATTAAGATTTTAATCGATGGGCATGATATACGTGAGTTGGATATTGCCTGGTTCCGTGAGCAGATGGGTGTGGTCTCACAGGAACCTGTCCTCTTTGCTGGCACTGTAACTCAGAGTATCAAATTGGGCGCCCCAGATGCTACTGATGAGGAAATAGAAGAAGCCGCCAAACAGGCGCTTGTTCATGAATTCGTCTGCAAACTTCCTGATGTGAGTTACCACTGTAATTTTGAAGTATGGCTGGCGGCTCATTAAATCACTTTAAATTTTCCTCGCCAAACTCTGAATTTATCCTTAAGTTTTATACCTGACTCAATCCCAGGATACGAGAACTGAAATTTTGGATGGAATAACGTTTATTTATATCGAATGGTAGGTGTTTTAATAGTTATCACTAGTCTTTTAGCTGACTTCGGGCTTCACAGAGGGGAGGAACTTTAAAGGGAGAAAAAATTGAGAGGGGGGGGGAGCAGAAGAGTGATTCACAGATGCAAAAGAGACAGACAGACAGACACAAAGTCTATCACACACCCCAGGGAGGAACATTAAAGTGAGAAAAATTCGACAGGGGAAATATTCACAGATGCAAAAGAGACAGACAGACAGACACAAAGGTAGATAAATAGGTAAGGTGAGTGCTGTGGAAGTGGTGGAATATGACATACAGTGGGGTCGTGATAGTTTGAAGTCAACTGCCGGTTTATATACTTTTTGCCCTATGAGTTTACGTTGCCCAGGGTGCACCACGTGGAGGTAAGTCCATCGCACACCCTGAATGGCAAAACATAGTGAACGAACCCTGGTGTTTTGGGAGTGTTGACGATATTTTCTCACCAACTCCACCATTTGACAAGTACGTTGTCATTCCTATCACTGCAGAAAAATTGCATACTTAAATAAATCTAATGATGATTGACTGCGTGTGGCACTCAACTTCTTAAATTTAAATGAAAGTTGGTTGCAAAGTGTGCGCATTCATTTGTTTTTTTCTCATTTTTTTCTTAATATCTTCAAAGTCTTAAAGTTTACAGGCGCTACAATTGGTCTTTTCTTTCATTTATTTTTCCGAAATTCCTATGAAATGTACACGCAAAACCTTATTGGGTGTCTTATTAAAAATGAGCTTCATGTGATATGATTAAGCATTGACCTTTCCACTTTGAAACGGCTTTTGTTTGAATTCTAACCCATACCGTCCCACAATACCATCTTTCCATAAACTTCTTGCAGCAGTCAATGCGAATTCGCTGCTTTTGAACTACCTTTGGATGTGGTTAGTTATGAAGAGTGAACTCTGGTATATGGCGCTTCGATCTACCATGCCAATTAATAATGTTCAAAACAACCTAAGATTAAGCTGGGGAAGTCCACATTGATCATTCTCCCGAAGATTATTTAATTGTTGTTGTTATTCCCTAGCAATATGAAACGTTTATAGCAGAAGGGGGTGGTGCCATGTCTGGCGGTCAGAAACAACGTCTTGCCATCGCAAGGGCCCTGGTACGAAAGCCAAAAATTCTTCTACTCGACGAGGCTACATCAGCTTTGGATACGCGATCTGAAAAGTCGGTGCAAAGGGCACTTGACAACGCCAAGATCGGTCGAACCGTCGTCATGGTGGCACATCGTCTTTCCACGGTGCGAGATGCTGACGTCATTATTGTCGTTAATAAGGGCGTTGTTGTTGAGGCTGGCAACCACGATGAGCTTATGGCACTCAAAGATGGCGAGTACGCCAAGCTTATAAAAATTAGCGTGAGTTAAAGTAACCCATTGAAATTGAAACAAACAATGAAAAAATTGAAGTTGAATTAAGCAGCTTAAAAAAAATAATTAAAAGTACTAAATAAACGAAATTATATACGCTTGATTTTTCTTTAATTCAAATTAACATTTTATGTTGTCTTGTATTAATAGCCGATTTCAACAGATTAATTTAATTAACTCATGTGCTAATTCTTTTTTCTTTCACTGTTATTTTAGGGTACGAATGAAAACAAGAAGGCAGAATTTCAGGAGAGCGATTCAGAAAGTGAAGATGATGAAACTGTTGCAAGAAAAATGGCAGAAGATCAGGCATGTTTCTAAAATTAAATTAAACGCTTTACACGACGCATACAAAGCGAATATTGCACAGGATAGATGTTGGAGGAATGAGTTCCAGTTTCCGTACTATTTCTTAATGACCTTGTCAACTTCTTCTCGATAATGACGTTATCAAGTAAGCCACAAATGGGTCTCAACCTCATAAAAGAAGATTTGGAATGACTGGCAATCGTTGGGATGCCCCGGAAGCATTTATCAGCCATCGTTAATCACCTACTTAGTTTAAACTGACTGAATCTTAGAGGTTGACACATTGGTGTAATATGCCAAATCTGGAATTTGATAGTCTTGATAACAGAAGCCCCCAAAATTTAGTCTCTGTACTATGTATGGGAGATATAATTCGATTAAAGCAAGCAGTCTGAACCCTCTACCCTTGAAAATGTTTTCTTTTTAAAAAAGTATTTGTTAAATTGGGCTATATGCACAATTTATTATTCTTGATTTATTATTTTGCAGGCCCACGATATGTTTCACTCCGAAATCAGCAAAACTGTAAGTGATTTAGCATAAAAATAGATTAGTTTTTTCTTCGCAATCGAGTGTGTTAGTTTTTTCCTGAGTCGAAATTGCATCATTTCAAAATAAATCTTACGACAATTTCTTTTTTTCAAAAGCACGATGACGCATCTTCAATCAGTGATGCCAAATCAGTTGAGACAACCATGGTAGGTGTGCAATTTAGGGGGGTTGGGGGATTAATGCGCATTTTGGCATTAATATTCTAATGTTTATTCTTATTAAATTAGGGAGAAGCTGCAAAAACACAAGTCACGAAGGAAATTATTAAAATGAATGCCCCAGAAAAGTCTTATATGATAGCAGGTTTCATTCTATCTATAATTTCCGGAGGTGTACAAGCAAGTTACGCAGTCCTCGTAACAGAAATCTACGATGTATGCCCTTGTGATCTTAATTCCTTTTTTTTGGAAATGTAGACTCTAGCAAATTACACCAACCTCGTTTTTTTCTTCAACATTTCAGATTTTTAGCGAACTGAACGGCAATAAAAGGCTGGAGAGAACGGCAGTTCTTTCTGGAGTTCTTGGAGCTCTAGGCATTGTTCGCTTTCTCTGTCTACTTGGAGGTGTAAGATATTATTTGTTTAAAATTCACTCCCCCCCCCACCCCCCCCC